CCCTGCTCACCTCGACCTCCGCGCGGCGCCCAGCCGTCCCGGCGAGGCCAGCTCCGAGCTCCCGGCCCAAATTGGGATGCGGCCGGGTTGGAGCGGGTGTTTGCCCAACTTGTGAGGACGTCAGGCCCCTCCGTCCCGCAGCCAATCGGTGGCCGCCCTTCGGGAACAACCTTCTCCGTGGCCAATGGGCGGCGCTGCCAGGTGCTGGCTCGCGCCTGGCCCGGGCTCCGCCCCCCGAGAAGGCTGCTGCCCCTGGCTCTCTGACCTGCTGAACTCCGGTGGGCCATCACCTTCTCCCAGGACAGTTATTGACCCGGTTTGTCCCGGTACGAGAGGAGGCGGGGCGCAGAAGGACGTCACAGCGAACTAGATGGGTCTATGCCAAACGTTCGTGGGAAAATTCCATTTTCTGCCAATTCCGCTTATTCCACGAACTTTTTGACGCTCCTCTTTCCTGGAAGAAAGGAGAGCACTTGCATCTCACCTTCACTTAACCTTACAATCTTTCCCACGTGTTTCACAGCCTGTGAAGTGAGCCAGGTGACAGCTTTCCAGGTGAGCCAACTGAGACCATGTGGAGTTATGCACCCACAGAAAACACTAGAAGAGTCCATGGTGCACCTGGCAAAGTCCAGCGCTCTCAGGAGAACTGACTAGTAACCCTAGTCTCTAGAACCGAGAGGCACAGGGGGAGATGTAGTTTATTCAGAGCAGCTCTGAGACCACAGCAACCCTATAGGGCAGACTAGAATTGCCCCCGCCGGGTTCAGAGGCTATAAATCTTTCAGAGAGCGGAAGACCTCATCATTCTCCTTGGGAGAATGCTCATGGTTTCGAGTTAGCAGTTAGCTGACATTGCAGTGATCTGCCCAACTCACCCCTCCTGCTAGGGGTGCAATGAGTTCGGATCTACTCAATGGCAGTGAGTTGAGTTGAGCCACAAGATCATAACACAAAATGAAATGTACTCTGCTTACGTACACACACTCATCCACATGCCACCCTCTCTGGGACCCTTTCCATTGAACAGGGACATTAAAGAAAAACAGGCAAACACGCAGACCCACGTTGCTGTTGAAATTCCTCATAGAGCCAATTGCAATGTACAATGACCCTATGTGAATAGCTACAGTCTCTGTAAACCACCAGGAAGTTCTACCCTGTCCTATAGGGTCATTAAGAGTTGGAATTGACTCGCTGGCAGTGAGTCTGGTTTGGGTTTTATGTGTAAGGGTCGAACTGCCCTCTAGGTCTTCTTGGTGGTAGTCTTTACCAATCACCAGGCCTCTTCGATGCCTTTGTGTTACCGTGCTGGTGAAGAATTGAAAGCATGATGGACTGCCAACGGAACAAACAAATCTGTCTTGAAAGAAGTGTAGCCTGAATGGCCCTTAGAAGCAAGGATGGCGAGACTTCAGCTCACATTCGTTGGACATGTTATCAGGAGAGCCCAATCCCTGAAAAAAGTTATCACACTTGGCAAGGTAGAGGGGCAGCGAAAAAGAGAAAGGCTCTTGACAAGGTGGATTGGCAGACATAGTGACTGAAATCATGGGTCAAACATAACAATGGAGAGGATCTATTTTACAAAGAGTTGCTATGAGTCAGAAGAAACTCAAAAGCCCCTAAGAACAAGGCCTATCCTCCTAAAGTACCAATCGGTGGGCTCCACCCATGGTTTCTATTACCAGCTGAGCTAGCATCCCCCAAGAGCTTTCTACAGACCCATAGCCCCAAACAAATGAAAATCATTACAATTCAGATTCCATAGCAAGCTTACAGGGCAGAATAGAACTACCCCCAAAGGATTTCCAAGGGTGTACATCTTTTATTTTCCCCTTCCCCGAGGGTGTACATCTTGAAGCTCATTGCCACATCTTACTTGTGGCTCCCGCCCCAGAGCTGGTGTGTTTGAGCAGCCATTGACTTTACCTCTATACCATCAGAGTTCTTCATACAGACTCATCTCAATAGTTGGTGCTTAAGAGGAAGACAGTGTCCATACTGGATGAATCCCAGGACGGAGGGACTGCACAATTCATATTTTGAAAGGAAAAAAAGGTAGTAAGAATGAAACCAATAAAAGTAATACATTGTGAAAAAGAATTTCTAAATGTGTCCTTGAGAGAAAAAAAATGCCTCCAACATGTATCCTACTGTATCGGGCATGTTTCAGGAAATAAAGGATTATTTTCTAGATTATATCAAATCCTTGGTTATGTCTTACAGTTTTAAAACCTTCTAAGGCTGAGGTTGGAGTGGGGACAAGCAGAGAGAGAAAAACATGGGGTGAGTAAGGGAATGGGGTTATTCATCTGGGAAGACTATAGGGAAAAACTCTCACCCACCTTCCACTGAAACTTCCACCCCATCCACTTTACAGAAAAGACTTTCTTAGAGGCCAGGACCTGTAGGGAACTGAGAACTAGAAAGAGAGTGTATGCAGAGACATTCTCTGTGCTCATACTCTATGCTCAGAGAGTCTGGGAGGCTGAGACTCTCATGTATGTGGGTTGAAGATGCATCTCTGTCACATTCTCCTAACTAAATCCATTCGCCCACCATGTCCCCCCATGGCAATGCCAAATTTAAGATGCTGCTTACAAGCACATGGTTGCTACTATATCCTTGAGGGTCAACTGCTTGAAGGCTCTCTGCCTGAAGGCCGTCTGCCATCATAACAATCAGACCACCCCACTCCAAGTATGGCCCACTCCATTCTGATAAGGATCATAGATTGCTCCCCTGACAAAGAGTTCAGGGACACCTACGGTCAAGCCAGCTCAGAGATGACCAAGGTTAGGCCACCATCTGAACTCTAGAACTGGCCCGTCTTGTTATAAATGTACCTTCCTGTTATATATATGGCACTAGCATGTCCCCTTCGTGTTACATATGTGTATGGCTTGGCTTACCTAGCCAAAGAGTATATAAGCCACATGAGAGAACACAGTCTCACACTCTGTAGTTATAGATTTCATGGAAGAGGTGAGCACTTGCATGTCTTGGCCGATGTCTCTTTAATTGACCTCTCAATTACACAATTGTGGAGGACCTATTGGTTGTGGAGGCCCCACATGGGAGAGCTTTTAAAATGTTTTCGCATCTGGGAATCTCCGTAACGTCATGTACTCTCTCCCCTAGGAAAGTTGTTGGGGGGAAAAAAAGAACAGAAAAATTGTTGAACAGTATAGACTGGTATGTATGCAATTTCCAGACATGGTTACGAGACATTTTTCTAGTAACCAAAAAAAGAAAAAAGAAAAAGAATGCCCTCAACAAGATCAATCGGCACAGTGGCTGCAACAATGGGTTCTTCACAAAAGACACACTACCCTGTCCTGTGTCATCATCACAATTGTCTTGTACAGGACAAGGTAGTGTGTCTTTTGTACCGAGAGTCGCTGTGTTTGACAGCACCTAAAGTCAACAACAAGCCACAATTGAAAGTTCTAGGTGGAGACAGTAACACCTTGGGAGACTATAATGGTGCTGTCAGGGAAGTTTTGAACTAGTAATCACAAGTTTGGTGGTTCAAACCCAGCAGTTGCTCCAGAAAAGACAGATGATTTATAGCCTCCAAAACCACCCTATACAGGTGACGATGAGTTGGAATCAACCCAATAGCAATGTTCGGTGTGTTTTTCCAGTTAGGTGAATGAAGCAGAGAGAACAAATCTGTAGTTTGCTTCTGACTATTCTCGACATTTACAGATACTTCCTAAAATTGTGTGTGTGTGTGGGTGTGTGCGTGCGTGTGTGTGTAAGTCCCTTGGTATCTCCAAGGTCAACCTTTGTTGGGTTCCAATGTTCTAAATGATTCAAAGTCCTTTGCCTTCCCTTGAGAGGTGTTTATGGTGTGGCTAACCAGGACAGTTTCCCTCCCCATCATACCTGCTTACTAAGATTCTACCAAACTCTTTTTATAAAAAACAAAACAAAAACGTTGACCAAGACTTTACAGTTTCAGTTATCCATCATTGTATTTTTTTTACGTCATTGTATTTTATGGATTGGGTAATACTTAGAACACTGTACTCACAGAAGCAAACTTGGGAGATACAGATAGTGACACCTTCTCCCTGAAAGATGATCCATCTCGTATGTTCAAACCAAGGAAGAAATCCCAACAGTACTCCCCTCACCCTCTTCTGAATGGAAGTCGAAAAAGAGGAGATGCTCACCTTGAAGGGCCGGGCACAGATCGCGGGGAAGAAGAGCATGGGCATTGAGCAAACCCCAATTGTGTCTTACAGCGCAAATTCTGAGCATTGGGTTTACAGAAGGCTATGGATCACACTGAATGCCCAAAATCCATGTGCAGAGTCCGCATGGAACGCCTGCGGTGTGAATGGTCTTGTGCTCAGCAGAGCACATTGCAAAGTGGATATCTACGCCCCGCTGACCAATCCAGGGCACAACAGTCTCCTTTAGGGGCTTACCCAGGTGTGTCCTCAGTAGAGGTTGCCATACTGGGGTTGCACAGTCATGAGTCTTGCCCAGGCTTTCTTGGCTGGAAGGTACTGGATGGGCTTTTTTCAGGGCTCTTATGCCTAACATAATGCACCTGTCCCAATTATGGTCCCTTTCTCCAGCTTCTGTGGTTCCACCTGTAACCATGATGTGCTGATCTGCCACCAATCATGCTTTTGTGACAGTTTCCTTTGTTCCCTGTCCCAATGTCCTTTTCAAGTCTCTATTATCTCTACAGACTATTATGGTCTCTTGTCAATGGTCTCCCTCATCCAGATGATGTGTCCATGTCTTTGTCTTCTATTTTGCTTTTTAAGACTTAATGTCCCCCTTAAATTATATTTGAAGGAGCACTGGTGGTGTAGTGGTTGCGAATTAAGCTGCTAACATAAAGATCAACAGTTCAAAACAACCAGCTGCCCCTCCAGAGAAAAACAAGGCTCTCTGCCCCTATCAAGAGTTTCAGTCTGAAAAACCTACAGAAACCGTTGCACCATGTCCTGTAGGGTTGTTATGAGTTGGAATGCCTGGAAGACAGTGAGTGAGAGCCAATTACATCTGAGATTTGGGGTCCCTTATGAACCCTAAAAATATAATTTTGGGGGACG